AAAATCTCCATAACCGCCCTGTTGTGGGAGAGGGCCAGAGGAGGTCTTGTGTCAGCATTTCAATGCTTTGACTAAATGGGATGTGTATCACTTCATTCACTGCCCATTGTCCAGAACTTGTCAAATGACATTACCCAACCACAAGGGAAGGTCCACACAAGGAGAGAACTGGTTATTGGTGAGAACTAGAACTACCACACAAATCTAGATCTCTTTTGTGAACCCCAGATCTGTGCATCCAACTGCTCTCTCAACATCTTTACCTGAATGTTCCACAGGCACCCCAAACCCAATGTGTCCAAAATTAAACTCCTTATTTTTCGCCAGTCCTATAACCCCTGCTTTTATATTCTCAGCGTTAGTTGATGGATACAATACAGGAAACGTAGTAATCGCCACCTCCCCTCTCTCTTACTTTCCTCTCACCCCTAATAAATGACTAGATCCATCACCTGTCTGCTCTGCCTCTTCACCATGGCCATTGCCTCTTTTCACTAGTTTCTCACGTGGAACTCTGCAACACCAAAGAATTCTTCACCCACTGTCTGGTACCTCACCAGTGCCCCCTAGCTCTGTTGTCAAAACCCAGATGTGCTTGTGTTAGTCCTCTTCAGCAGTCTTTCCATTGCCTTTAAGGGTAAAATATGTTTAGGGCCCACCATTACCTGGTCTTATCCTTCCTCTCCAGCCTTTCCTCTTCCATTCCCACCCTTAGCCTATCCTCGTTCTCCATAGCATCACCTATGGTGAAATACTTGCATTTCCCTAAACTCAACCAATGTGCCAAAGCATGCCTTTGTTCACCCTGTTCCTCTACCTGGAATACATTTCCACCCTCGGTCTGCCTAGAAAATTATTCATCTTTTGAGGTACAACTCAAACACTGTCTCCTCTGCGAGGCTTTTCTTGACACCTATCCTCCCTCCTTATCATGAAGCCTGATCCCTTTGTTCATTGCGTCTCACTCTATCCTATACAGATGTCTCACATCTACAACATTTCATTATGCTTATTTATGTGACTGGCCAATCTGAACATACTTTTACACATGAACAAAGATATCTGTCTCTACAAGAGACAGATCCTGTAGGTCAAGAACTATGTCTTACTCATTACTGAATCTCCAGAGTTTGACAGGGTGTTTGGGTAGGTGCTCAGTAAATGTCTGATTAATTAGTTAATCCTCCCTCTAAGACTTGAACTACAGCTATTTCCTTCTCTGGCTCCTCTTCCACCTTCTTGCCCTTTGGTGGTATCTTTGACCATAGTCTGATTTTTTTTATCCCCCATTGCTTTTGCTGCCAGTTTTCTAAATATCTCTCAAATCCATATATATCTTTTCATCTCTCTACTGCTAGCATCCTGGTCCACATCACTACTACCCTCCTCAACTAGATCACTGCAGTAATCTCTCAACTGGTCTATTCATATCTATTCTGGCTAACTTCCAGTCTGTTTGTTCCAGTTTTAGTGATTGCTCCAGAATGCAAACCTGATCTTGTCACCCTTGTTTAAATATCATTAGTACAGATAAACCCACTTCTCTTAAAGTCAAAAGTCCTGGGGGACCGGCCCCTTCCTGCCTATTCAACCTCAGCCTCCTCGTGCTCCACCCTCTGTCCCCACCCCAGTGCCACCTCACATACTTCCTCTTTCAGCTTTTGTCACACTAGTCTTCACTCCACCTTCAACTCCCTACCCTCCTTCTGGCACAGGGCTTTTAAATGTTCTGTTTCCTTTGAACTTTCCCTTCCTATTGGTCTAGTGGAGCTCCACCTCACATTTCAGATTTCTGTTGGGTTGTTTTGTGTTTTGGCTCTAAGAAGGCTTCCCTGGTCCTCTTCTCCCCTATTGTAGGCATTGATGGCACGGGGCCCTGATCATTCACACCACACGTAACAGTCACAATTTACCATTTCTTTGTGTGGTAAGGGCCTCCTTTACTAGTCTGAAAGTTCCATGAAGGCAAGCCCTCATGCTCATCATAATGTCCTCAAAGCTTAGAACAGTACATAGCACATAGTAAATGTTCAGTAAATGTTTTTGGAGTAAGTGAATGAAGAAATGAATTATCTCAGCAACCGAGATCCAAAAACTTGAAGTAATCATTGACTCATCCTACTGTTTTATGCCCCATATCCAGGTCCCAAGTTATATGTCCCCCAATTTTGTGATCCCTGTGGTTTCCTTCCCACTCCTGCAGCCCACACCCTTACTACACAATACCCAGAATATCACCATGCCCTCTAGCTTGTCTCTATCCACAATTTATCTTATATGATACTGTATCATCTGTCATAAAGGCTATGTTTATCATGTTATATCTCAATCAAAAAGATTTAGTGTTTTTTTAAAAAATATTTTAACTATATCTTGCTTGGATTTAAAGCTCCTCACTATCTGGCTGTAATCCATCTATGTAAACTACTTTTTATCTCCCACCCTCTCCAAATGCGCCACTCTATTTATTTATTTTATTTATTTATTTAAGCACTCTGTCACTCAGGCTGAAGTGCAATGGCATGATTGTGACCCACTGCAGCCTGAAACTCCTGGGCTCAAGGGATCCTCCTGCCTCAGCCTCTCAAAGTGCTGAATTACAGGAGTCAACCATTACACCCACTCAAAATGTCCCACTTTTGAACTGTGCTGATATCCCAGAAATACATCACTTGAATTTCAGCAGCTAACCTGGGCCTGGGCACCCCTCCTGCAGCCCTTTCTCCCTCCATCCACCTAAAGCCTATCCGTGCTCAAGGTTTACCTGCATGCATCCTTGCCTGATTTCTCCAGCTCCACCAGCTGTGAGTTTCTCTTCTCTCCACTTGAAAACCTCTTCCCCAGACTCTATGCCTGGCCAGCTCCTTCTCATCCTCGAGTTCTCTAAGTGGAAATGCCCACTCCTTAGAGAAGCCTTCCCCAGTCCTCCATCTTCTCTAAAGACACTCTCCCAGTTTATTCTCTCTAGCTAGCACTCTGTTTCTTTCCTTCATGGTCCTTAATGCAATGTGTCATTGACTTATTATTTACAGCTAGTGCTCGACTTACGACCACAATTGGTTCCGACAGACCGGTTGTAACACTATTTGGTTGTAAGTTGAGTAGGCTATATGTACAGTACTGTGAAATGATGTTATAAAAATCTTTAAGTCATATTTTATCATGATTTTCTTTCATTATTGTTATATATCATAATTTTCTTTGTTCATTTTATGCCATTTGTATCATCTCTACACCATTTTGTTTCTTATTTTTACATTCGTCAGGTTTAAGTAAAACACTGCATTACCAGTACAACTGGTTTAATATTTGCAAAACATACAAAATTACAAAATACAGGTGCATACAAAAATACAAAATATGGGTTAAAAAATAGCATAGGAAACATTTTGCCAATTGCAAAACATATCAAAATATATAAACATGTATGAAACATTTTATTGGCCGCTGGTGCTTGGCCGCGGATCGTTGATGTCATCATCTGAGGCAGCAGTTGGGGTTACCGGAGTTGGTTTTTTCATAAACATGGTGAGCTTTGTCTGAATTGTATGTTTCTTTTTTTCTTCATAAATTTCACGATACGGATGAAACACATCGTGCGCCATCTGTCCAATCCTTGCAAATTGTTCGATGTTTGGGTCCATTGCTTCGAAATGTATAAGAAGTTTATTCAGTAAAGATAAACTGTCTGATAATCCCTTAGTGGTGAACTTTCTTTCTGGCTCCTCCTCTTCTTTCTCTGCTTCTCTTCTTTCTTCTTCTGCCACTCTTTCTTCTTCCAGTTCGATTAGCTCTTCATTTGTAAGTTCTCCGGATTCTTTGTCCAGCAACTCTTCAACATCTTCCATTTCACACTCCAAAGAAAGGTCTTTAGCGGGTTTTACTATTTTTTCCCGAATCGTTTCAAGATTATGTTCACTGTCAAATCCGTCAAAATCATTAACATAGCGCTTAACACAATTTTTCCAGATGCCATTCATGCACTTTGTCATCACAGCCTCCCAGGTGGTAGCGATATTCTTGATACACATCAAAATGTTGTAGTGTTTGCAAAAATCTACAGCGGAGCAGTCGTGGCTAGCGATTGTGGTCGTAAAGTCGAATGGTCGTAAGTTGCATAGGTCGTAAGTAGATCAATACCTGTACTTGTTTTTCATTTCTCTTCTCAATTAAGTGGTAGAGTCCACGAGGCAAGGAACTTTTCTACCTTGCTCTCCAAAAAACCTATAATACCTGGTCAGGTGTAGTGGCTCACGCCTGTAATCCCAGCACTTTGGGAGGCCAATGCAGGTAGAACATTTGAGGTCAGGAGTTTGAGACCAGTCTGACCAACATGGTGAAACTCACCTCTACTAAAAATACAAAATCAGCCAGGAGCGGTGGCTCATGCCTGTAATCCCAGCTACTTGGGAGGCTGAGGCAAAAGAATCATTTGAGCTCGGGAGGTGGAGATTGCAGTGAGCCATGATGGCATCATTGCCCTTCAGCCTGGGTGACAAGTGTGAAACTCCTTCTCAAAAAAAAAAAATAATAATCCTATAACCAGCCCACTGTATGGCCTATAGCATTTACTTAATAAGTATATTATTAATATTATTTTACAAATAAATATTTATAAAGAAATGATTCACCTTCCCTTTGAAGGGATCTCAACACTCTGAACACATTTGAAGTCTGCACAGCTAGTACCTAACTCCTAACACTGTTTGCTCTTCATTTTTCATCATCAGCCTCATCTCCCTGGTTGGAAAAGATGAGACTATAAGGCTTTTGATGACAATGATAATGTCATAATGATGCACCCTCCACAGACAATCTGGCACGGTGGTTAAAGTAAATAATAAACATTTAATTAGCAAGAAACCTGTCCTGTCTCCTTATGTTCTGGCATTCATGTGTCAGACGCAAAGGAACACAAAAGAAAGATTAAAAAATCATAACGTTGACATCAAAGAGGAAGTCTACCCTTGAGTTTAGATCTTTGTGACACACAATGTGATGCTGGCAGTGGCAGAGACAGTAATCTTTATTTCGTCATTTCTGAAACATAGGAAGCAAACATAGTAACGGAAGCAAATGAAGTGCTCAGTCTCATACGATTGCGTCTTATGATCGGACGTTTTCTTGAAAGGTAAATGCATTTACCACATGCCTTTAATCTAGATTAAATAATCGCTCACCAAAAGTAAGTGTCATCTAATTGTTAGTGGTTTCTATCACCTGTTTTATTTGATGTGGGGAGGGCCGTATTTGAATGGTTCTATTTAGTTGTTGTGTTTTACAGCAATCAGTAAGATTCTCCAGTGTTGGATGAAACGTGAAAAAGTAAATATAGCACCATATCTATTTTAATGTATGCTTCTGCCAAATGCTTGGGTTGTGCTGAAAGGGAAATGTGTTTCCTGCTTTTTTTGGCGTGGATTTGTGAGTAGCTATTTCCCTGTGGTATTGTGTGATGATTTTGTCCATTTATGTGAAAGTTAGGGTGGGGTGGCCTAATGCTTTTACAAAGGCTACGGTAACATTTTTGTAAATGCAGAACTGCTGATGTGAAGGTCAGGATTTTACGGAAACCTATGATCCAATCTTCTTCCACCTCCCCAGTGACAAAACCTAGTGTAAGCTCATATTCTATTTAGCACCAACATATATTTCAATATTTTAAAAATATTATCTCAATATTTTTTGATGGTCTGCAAAGAGCACCACTGACTTACAAGTTAGAAAAGAAGCAAAAAAAGGTGAGAAAAATTACCACTACCGATTCTGCTGTGGACTGTGGCCTTCCTGTTCTCATGGCTCAGACGCCTCATCACATTTTCCTGTTGGCCCCTTTCTTATTATCTGACATTGCCCGATCTAAAAATGTTTGGTGAATTGTAAGGTACTTGGCAATGTCGCTGTTGTAACAGGTACATGGAGATGAGGTATCCTCCCTACCCTCCCACAGGCCCAAGGAGTTGGAAGTTAACTTTTGAGAGCTGAACAATATAACAATAAATAATTGATGGCATTTGTTTAAATAAATGACCTTAAAATATAGAATAAATAACAAAGTCAAAACATTTTCCCATGAGTTTGC